CGTGTGGTGTGTGTGTGTGTATATATATATATATACACACACACACACATCATACACAACTTGCGATAAACCCATAATTATATCCATATACGATTAAAATAAATTTTATCTTTTACTCACCTCAATATATTACATTAATAATCTTATCAACTTTCTTTTCCTTTTTTACAATCTCCTTATATTAATAATATAGAAAGATTCGCGATAATTAGATATAATACAACTTATTCAGTTTTAAGTGTTTGATTACTGTTAAACATTTAGCATGTTACGTTTAGATATATGCTATATTGTTGATCCAATCCTATATAGCAGTCAGAAATCAAATAGAATGTTAATTTTGTCGGTCCTAAAATAAATACATTCAGATTTATACTTGAAGAAATTTGAGAAAGACACATTACAAACAAATTAATAGATTTACCTAAGCTATTAGGTGTAGTAAATTGCAATTGATGATACTTCTGCTGACTATTTATACCAGATATCCTCTTCAAAGCCCACAACTCTGCCTTCTGAATGTCACCTAATATCAAGAACCAACTTTCGTCCTTTCCTTTTAAAAACAATGGACAGTATGCTTTTAAAGTTTTGGAATTGTTCATTCTTTTTAACCCAATAATTAATGTATATTCTTCATTCCGTCGAACATTTATGAAATCATCATTATTACGTTTCAACATTATCTTCTCCTCTACGTTAACGTCTCTTCTAATGTTTGTAGAATTTTCTAATGTTAAATCAATTGATATTCTCGGCATATCCTTAATTACTTGATGTATCTAAAAAACAAGCGGTTTGATTTTTTTAGATATAAATTTAATAAATTTTTATAACACATAAATTGCAAATAGATAGATCTTTCCAATTTTATTACCTCGCGTATTTGATCTGTCCGATATTTTCCTTGTAAAACCTTTGCAAGTTTATTATAATTATCGAACGTAATAGAACATAATACCGGAAGAGCTATTGAGAATGATGAAAACAAGTGCAAATCTTCTTTCCTTATGTGTGGTAACGTTGTAATTGCAGATTCATCTATCCATTGCGCTTGCACGATCATTTGAAACAGTTGTATTATTCTCAATGTGCTCGTCAACCATCCGCGTTCCGCGACCGTATCAATCATTGCCTAAAAGATTTTCTATCAATTATCGAGTTTAAATTATAATAAAAATATACGTATAAAATTTACGCATTATTATTATATTACATATCTTCTAGAAATTAATTTTATTTATTTATACCTGTATTATTCTGATTGCTTGATCGAGTACTGATTTCAGATCGGTGATATAGTCGGTGCAAGGTAATGGCAGCCTTGAAAAATGCGCTTGCAGCAAAAGAAATGCTTTTGTATATGGAGAATCGTATTGATCATTGGCAGGATAACGGCATAGTTTCGCCAATTCTCTGTCAAACATTCGTGCTTGTAAAAAGCAATGGACAAAAAAGGCGATCGATTAATCGCTGTTAATTCAAAGACTTACTCATTTAACAATTCTTCGTTATGTCTCACAGGTAATTCGTTGTATTCGTGAGAATTGCAGAGTATACGTAAGTACTGATCCAAGGTTAAATTTTCCTTCAACGATTGCGTAAACATCAACATCGTATTGTGCGACAGATAATAAAATGACGCTATCTTACCCATGGGCAATGAAATTAAAATTTGCTCATCCTATGTAAAATCATTATATAATTATTTTAACTATTATATTACTATTTCAGTAATAACTATTTTATTAGATTCATCATCGTACCTCGTCGTAATCGATACAATGTGAATCCATTAATGACTTTACGGTGACTTCTACTAATTTCGAGAGATACTCGTTGATACATTCAGGTTCCAAGACATCTAAACCATAATAGTTTGGATTTTTCATCAATCTTCGAAAATAGTATGTCCACGTTAAGTAATCAAGAAATTCTTGTTTGTTCTTAATAGTGCCTGCGACAATCTCGGCGTTAATGTGATCGGGTAACACTTCCATCAGACTTGATTCCACGGGAAACGGTTCGTATAAAAATTTTTTGTAGAAATTCTTCTTCAGGTCGTGCACGAGAACAACCGCTACACCAGAATTATCGAATTGCGGTCTGCCAGCGCGACCCATCATTTGGAGAACATCTGTTATTGGCATATCTACATAACGCTTCAACTTGCCATCGTAATATTCTGTACCCTTTATCACCACTAGATGAGCAGGGAAATTAACGCCCCAGGCCAAAGTGGCCGTAGTGATTAGTACCTAAATTAACAATCGATTAATAACAATCGCATCGAGCAATGAGATAATTTCTTTGAAATTATCGAAAACACTTATTCGAAAACACAAGTATACATATATATGAGAGTTGATAAATTGTACTAACATAATTTTGATTGTTTCCACACTTTGCGATATTCTTCATGTTTTGAATTTTGTGTGTAATCATTGTTTAAGGTACAATAGTTTAAGGTACTATAACAGACATACCTGTATCTTATTATGGACAAATAGCTCCTCCACAGTTTTTCTATCTCTATCTTGAAGGCCGGCATGATGAAGGCCAATGCCAAAGGCGAGTGTGAGCTTTAGATTCGAATCATTTATATTCTCCAAAATATTGTTCATCTGTTCTTCCGGCATATGTAACCACTGTTTGGGATTATCTTCCGCCGCGAGATAGGCAATCAAATCCAGTGCGGTCAAGCGCGTCTGTCTGCGAGAAGACACAAAGACGAGAGAAGGACTGGTGGGCGCGTGTTGCCTGATCGCCTGAAAGGTCGGTCTGTTCATGGTCGCCATCCGGGGACAATAATGTTTGCCGGGGAATCCACTAATGTGAACCTCCAGCGGTACAGGTCGTACGGCCGGTCGGAAATTGTAGAGACCCATCTCTTTGATGCCAAGCCAATTAGCTAGATCTTGCGCGTTGGCCAGCGCGGTCGAGAGACCCACGACTCTAACTTTATTGTGCGTGTGCGAGGATATGAAATTGGTACGGGAGATGATCACCTCGAGTACCGGCCCGCGATCCTCGCCTAGCAAATGAATCTCATCGATCACTATGAGCGCCACTTTCTTTACATAGCTTCGCGTTTGCCAGCTCCGGCTGATACCGTCCCATTTTTCGGGCGTCGTAACGATCACGCTCGCACCGGCTATGATCTTTATGTCGGGCGACACATCTCCGGTCAGCTCCACCACTCGTTTACCCAATCGCTGCTCTAGTCGTATCTTCCAGTCGTTTATGCGTTCCCTGACTAGAGCTTTTAAAGGCGCTATGTAAACGATCTTTTGATCGGGGTGTTGTTTGAAAACGCGAAACATAGCGATCTCCGCCGCAATCGTTTTCCCCGAGCCGGTCGGCGCGCCAAGGAGAACGTTATTGTCCGTGTGATAGAGGCAATGGAAGATCTGTGTCTGTATCGGATTGAAATGAGAAAAGTTGTACAGACTCTCAAGGTCTGGATCCTTGAGGACAGTTACTGGTAATGGTTGCAATGACAGGAGATCCGTATGCGGTGGGTGAGTTTCCGGTAGGATGAGATCATGGAAAGTCAGCGGAAACGTAGTTTCGCAACTGAGCCAATGATCGCTCATAATTCTCACCAGATATTGTGTCGGCAAAGACTCGGATAATGGTATGGTCACGACGAGTTCTTGCTCAAGATGCTGGTAAACCATCTTCCTCGTCAGTATAAAGTATTCGTGATGATAAATAAAGTTACTATCCGGATCCTCGATCCATATCCAAAAAGCTTGCGATGTCTTGCCGTGAACCTTATCATTCCAGCGGAATATCGGGATTAACTTGAGTCGTATTCTTAGGATGGTCCGGGTAATAGGTTGTAAAGTGTATTCCATATCCAATGCGGGCAACTCATCGCAGCATTTTTTTACTACTGCCGCCGCCCGTTGATCCCGCAAAATAATACCGATCTCCTTCACATCCATTTCTTGCAAACGATAGATCGCGAGATTCCGTTCCTCGATCTTCCCGATAACCTCCATGGAGATGCAATCGAATTGACGCAGGGGTGTCAAGAAATCCCATTGTTGCGCCTCGAACATCTTTGCTATCTGCAGCAATCGCCCGGCCATTATCGCATTATTGCGTCTGAGCATGATTTCGAAAAGCGCCCTGGCTATCCGCACGGCGTTTTGCGTCACATATGCCTGATCGGATATTAACGAAGCCGTGTTTACTCGACCTCTGGACAGATATGTTTGTAGCAGTATATTGACCTTACCGTGAACATTTTCCACTCCACCCTGTGGTATGAGCTCGCATTCCTGCATCAGCTCGTCCAGCTCGTTCATCTCGTCGTCTCGTACCTTAAGCTGCTCGAATTCCTGAGCGCGCGATATCATTGCTAGAATCTCCGTCTCAGTCATGATAGGCTTCTGAAGTTCGTTGAAAATCTCGACTGTGTCGTACTTGAGATAATAATGACTTGCGATACGTCCCAAATCAGTCGTGTTAAGATCGCCGGTGCGTCCATCGTATCTGATCATCTGCGCTTTATCCAATGACTTGGCGGCAACATCAATAAGTTCCTTTCGCCTTTTTTCAAGATTAAAATCATCCATAAGATCTTGATAGACCATACCATACGCCTGAAAGTTTAGTTTCATTCGTACAAAGAGATAGGTGTAGCTCAACCATTCGACCGCTTCCGTCACATTCGATATCGTACCTAACGCTATCTCGGCATTTAAATTGTCGGCCAAATATGTAATAAAACTACTTTCGATTGGTATTTGATTCGTCAGCAACGATAGATAGTGAGACAGCTTGTTGTGTGACGTGATGATGACTGCGTGTCCCGACTTGTCGAATTGCGGCCTGCCGGCGCGACCGAAGATCTGTAATACATCCAGAATGCCCAGATCTACGAACGAACCATGCTTCGAATCGTAGATCTCGGTTCCTCGTATGACAACTGCATGCGCAGGTAAATTTACGCCCCACGCTAGCGTTGCGGTGCATACCAGTACTTTGATTAGACCGTCGCTAAAATATTTCTCAACTAGATTTCTGTCAGAGCGCAACAAGCCAGCATGATGTACCGACAGTCCGCTGTTGAACAACTCGCCGAGATACTTGTTGCGTGACTTAGCGAAAGCCTTGTTTATGTGTTTCGTCTGTCCGTCAGATATAAAATACTTGAGCGTGTCGTTCTTTAATGCCAGCTCCTTCAAAACATTCGCCATCCTCACAGTGGCGTTTCGCGCGTGTACAAACACCATGACCTGATGCCCCTGACGCACCATTTCTATAACGTTTTCGTAACACGCGAGATCCATGTCGGTCATTTGTTGTAGCGGTTTAATAGCCTTCACGCCGATGAAGGTCTGACTGAGAGGCACCGGTCGGAAACGATGATCAAAATAAAACAATCCCTTGCGTGGATTGACGCGCAAAAATCGCGCAACGTCCACATAATTCGGCAGAGTAGCCGACAATCCAACTATCCTAATCATGCTCTGCGATGACTCCACTTGACGTAGAGTTCTCGCGACCAATGCCTCCACCACGGGTCCTCTGTCCCCATGCAGCAAGTGTACTTCGTCAATGATGAGCAATCTCACAATACTAGTAAGACAGATATCACCCGTACCTTTTCTCGTGACAACATCCCACTTTTCCGGTGTGGTCACTATCATCTGAGTCTCTTGGATTTCTTGTTTCGTCAGTTGCATATCGCCAGTCAGCTCGCGAACACATACACCCAGAGAGCCAAGTTTTTGGTTAAAGTTGCTAGTCATTTCTGCCGCTAGAGCTTTCATGGGCGCAATATATATTATCTTAAATTGACTTTTCTGCAATTGCCCATCTTGGATGTTTTGTTTCAATTGATGCACCACAGTCAACATAGCCACATTTGTCTTTCCTGCTCCAGTTGGAGCACAAATCAATAGGTTTTCGTTGGTATTGTATGCAGCATCAAACACTATGCTTTGAATCCTGTTTAACGACGTTATGCCATTGAAAGCCATTTGACCGATCTCGTCCAGAGAAGATATTAATACAGACTCTATGTTGATGTCAATAGTCTCTTGTTTGGATATTGGTATGTGCACTTCTTCCCAACGTTCGCTATCATTTCTCCTAACATCTTCGGCTAACAATAACTTTTGCCCCGATATAACGTTCTCTCGCTTAACGCTTGCTTTAGAATCAAATACAAATGGAAACTGTTCCTGTGTCCCTCTCTCTAGAATACTTTTTTTAGAAAATAGTGGGGTGTGCATAGCCTTAAATACCTCATGTCTCTTAACTTGCAGTTCGAGTGGCTCAAATTCTCCCTCCTCGGCTTCCAATTTAGCGTCTCGCTTGCTCGCCATTCTATTAAATTTTTTTTCCTCCTTGCGTACCTGCTTGCACAACTGTTTTTCTACTTCGGATTGTACAGTCACTTGGCCACTGATTATAGGTCCTTGCTGCATAGTTGTAATAGTTTGCGGTCTTTTGATTACTTTTGGACATGAATATGTCGATACGATACTCTTTTGGTGTTCAATAATATATTCGATAAATTCTAAATGTTCACAGCCTAACATATCGAACAATTCTGTTTGTATATTTTGAGAAGTTTTTAACTTATCTATTATTATCTTCATAAAATCCGCATGTGACATTTCTATACTATATTCTTTGTAACATTCTTTCAATCCTTTTGTAAATGTCGCTTTATCAAACTACAATTAAAAGATAAAAAGAAATTGGAAAATGAAGATAAATTTTTTGTCCAAACATTTTAATAGGTACTCACTACTGATTTCTTCTGTATGGAAGGTTTGGTGTCATTGATCATTTTTGTAAATTTATCGATATTTGAATCTATTTTCTCTGTGGACATATTGTGAAGCTTGACAGTCTCAGGCCATATAGTCTTAGCTGGATTATAAGGAATATCCGCACCAAAAATTTGTGAACTTGGAGCATTTATATTCTCTTTGGATTCCGATAATAATTCTATAACTTCTTCGTAACATTCTGTCTGAATTTTTGTGACTATCTATATATAATTACAATAAAAGAAATACATAGTAACGGAATACATAGAGAGATATCAAATTTATCAAATACACAATATCATACCTGCATTATAGCTTTCGCATTCTGGAACGTTAAATGCCCTGATTTTTGACCAAGTATATCAAATTTCTTTTGTGATAAATCTTTCTCCTCGATTAATAAACGTAATGCGTAAACTGTGAACTCATCAATGACATCTGGCGAGTCGTTTGCTAAAAACAAAAAATAAATAAATTATAAATGTTTAACATAAAAAAATCTTAATGAACAAAATGCATTTAATATTTACATATTTTATGATTATCTCATATAAAAATTCAGAACATTATCACACAAATATACACAAAAAATGAAAATCTAATCTTTTAAAATCTAATCTTTTAATCTAATCATTTAAATTTAAAAAAATTATGTTTATTACAAATAAAAAATGTTTCAAGTGTTATTTTTTACTTACCTAAAGCTTGTTGCACAAGATTTCTCAGCATTAGCAGATGTACCATAAGATCTTTAGATGCACTTTTACATATGTCATGCCAATCAAGACTGCAAGAATGTATAAATATATAAATATATAGTTATGTAAAAATGTTTATTAATATTTATATTTATAGCAAATAAATATATCTATATAAATCCATAAAAAAATATCAAATCCTTTATAAATATTTTCAAAAGTGAAAAATTTACTTACCTTTTAATCTTTTTGTCCGTTCTTGTCTTTTTTTTTCACTTAAGTCATTTGATTCTAAGTCTAAAGCTTCTCCTCTTACGCTCGAGGGATGTAAACATCCCAAGGATTTAGTAATACGT